AGGGAAACTGTCTGTCTTTTTATGAACACGTCTTTGGGAATGCTGGTGGAAGTGATAGATGGAGATGGGGCTGTAGCACATGACAGTGTGGAAGTTTTGGAATAGACTCAAACTGTTCTTGGTGGCCTAATTTGGAGCACCTTCTTCAACATTTTTGGTTCACAAGTAATACAGAATTTATAGCTGAGGTGGTCCCAAAGCTGCTTTTAACTCCATAGTGTTTTTCTTGCCTTTTTCATATACACTGCAAGATTATTATTGTTGTCTGTTATATCAATAATTATAGGGAAACCCCACTGGCTGCTGAAATCAGCAGGCTTACTCTAGGCTTATTGTGGTGTCAAAAAGGATATTTATTGTAATTATTGCTGCTTGAAACTTGCTACATTGACTGCTGGGCTAAATGAGACTGAGTTTAAAACCTATAATTTTTTTTTTTCATATTGAAATTCATTCCGTGCCCAAATAATTTATTCAGCAGTCACCTCAGTGGTCTGCAGTTAATGAAGTCCCTTCTTTTAGTATCCTAGACATTAAATACCTCACCTGCATTTTATTGAAAAAGCAAACACTTCTCTCTTTCTGTTTCTTTTCATTACAGCCAGCTGAAGAAACAGAAGAACAGCCGTTTCAGCGCACTGCAAAGAATGCTGCTTTCCTCCTGCTTGGCTGTCACGGATTCCACCACCAGGAGGCTCTCATGAAAGCACATCTAACTAGGCAAAGAGAGCGCAAGCAAATGAGATGGAGAAACCCGTCCCCACGGGAATAATCCGAAACTAATACTTATCCTATAAATAGAGATTTTCGGACTGCTATGCAGGCATCTATTAATTAACTCTTGCAGGAATCCTAATATACAACCATCAGTTGTACCATAGTTTTTGAGGATACTGGGGTGTCATGGGTGGTATTCCAGCTTTGAATCACCTAGTGATACCCAGGAAAGTTGATACCTCTGTCTTCTGGATAGTAAAGCTCTTAATACAGTAAGTAAAATAATTGAATGGAGGAAAAGCACTGTTTTGATTTCTCCTCCCTCACATCTGCCCTCTATCCTTCACCCAAGGAATCATCTAATTTACCTCTGCCTTCTCACTTTTAGTTATTTGCTTATGCTTGGGTTCTTAATATTCTTTCACTTTTCACAGCAGGCTTTGATTGTATCCTAAAAGTTCTAAATATCTACACTAACAGTCCATCTGATTCTTCTCTTTTGCTGACATGACCTTCTTCAAAGAAAAGCAGAAGAAGAAATGTTTTGAGGCCACAATGTTCTATGTAGAGTTCCCAGGCCTCCAAAGAGGTTTTACAATAGTTGCTCACCATTCTTGCCACGCCATTCACCTTAAAGAGTTTAAGCAAACAGACATGTTGTTCAGCCACTCACATACTCTGGATAGAATCCATTGTTTCCTGCAAGGGTTTGCCACGAGGTTGACTGGGAGACTGATGGTTCAGAGGACACGTGAAGTCCACACAGCAGTCAGAGCTTCTGTTAAGCTCTGTCTCACTTTGTTCCTATTACCTGGCTTCTCCTTGCTTGCTTCCTGTCTTTCTTGTAATTCTTACTTTCACAGTCATCTCTTTCTGTGGATCACTTAAGATGTCCTTTGCAGGAAATGCTGAAACATGAAGCCTCCAGTCTGTAGATTCCCAATTAGCAGGTGCAGGGAGGTTATACCAGGGAAAGGATCACTCTGTATGGGTTGGTTTCTTGTTGTAACATTCCACAGCTGCCTGCTGCTGGAGACAAGACATTCGGCCTTCAGGCTGCGTCGCTGTGATATTTATGTGGGAGAGCAAATGGCCTGCTTTCTGAATGCCCTTCTAAGCTTATTTTATCTCATGCCTTAGACAAATATCAACTGTTCTTTTCCTGTAGAAACAAATGATGCTGCATTAGGAGAAAACGTGAAGCTTCATGCACATCGCACACTATGAAGGTGTAAGGAAAGTGCTAAGTATTCTTTTCTCTTCCATGTTCCTTCACCATTCCTTCTTTCCCTCCACTTAGGCACAGTACCAGCCCCCAGAAGCTACACTGACTGGGACTATTCTCAGTTGAAACCAGAAATATTCAAGAAGAGCAATCTGCTGTCACCAGAGTGAGAGTTGTGAGAACACTGATGTAGGCCGCTCTCCCTAGGTTCTGCTAATCAAAATAAGAGTGTAGTAACCAAACTGTGTGATGGTTTTTCTCCTCGGGATGCCTTGATCTGCAGGTCTTACTCTGTGCTGATTATTCCTGTTAGGGCGGTGTGCCTGTGGATGGCCTTTTATCAAAGGCAAACATTGGAAATAATGTGGCTTTAGATGATGTGTCTGCAGTGGCATGAGAATGGACTCTGTGGCCCAGGAAGTCCTTTCCAGTCCTGGGAATGTGCTGCAAGCTCATAGGCAGATGAGGTGACTTTTCAGACTTCTGGGGAATGCAGATGGCTGCTCACCCGTGGCCTGAACTAGCCTGGTCTAGAACTAGCTATTCAGGGACACCAGGAGATTTAGAATCCATTCTTATGAGACCTGAAAAAGCCAGGTACTGTAGTACTTAGAGTAGTAAATGAGAGATTTTGTTGGTTTGGTTTGGTTCCCCTGTCTTAATTCTGAGTTGTTACCTAGGGTAGCAAGAGATGAAAATAAGAGACATATTAGCTTAACAGTTGTAAAGAGCTGGATGGTGTCAGTGTGTTCAACAGCAGTAAAGCAGTATTTTCACTGGTTCTCAAGGGAAAAAGAACCCTGAAAATACAAATTT